GGCCAGGCTGGTCTTGAACTCCTGATTTCAGGTGATCCACCCACCTCGGCCTCCCAAAGTGCAAGGATTACATGCGTGAGCCACTGCGCCCAGCCTCTAAATTACTCCTTTGTCAGGTTGACCTGGGTTCAAGTTCAGATTCCACCATTTGCCAGCTGTGTGAACTTGAGTGCGATGCCTAACATTTTCTCATTTTCCTCAGCTTTAAAATCTGGATAATAATACCTGTCAACTTCAGAGGATTGTGGTGGGGGTTTAGTGAGATAATATACAACATAGAAGCTGCCAGACAATTGGTTACCAGCTTATATAGTGAGTCCACAGGCCCCAGTGAGGGCTTTTGGAGTGAGGTGGGATTTATATGGGGGGAAGAGTCAGGAAAATGGCTGAATGGCTGAATGGGCGAGTGAATGAAACACTGCTGTATATCTGTTAACCCATGTATACTTTTAAGAAGTTTGTTGTCCTGGCAGCGGGTGAGAGCATATCTGTGTTTTATAATTTTCACATGACCACCTTCTCTGATTCAAGTAATCATTTTGTACAATTTTAGCAAACTTAGCAAAGTCTGGTGCTGCAACTAAAGTCTGCCCCATGCTTTTGGAAATAATGGAGAAAAGCAGTTGTGACAGAAGTTTGAAAAGTGAGGTTTTTTTCTTCTTGTTTTTGTTTTTTTCAAGCCTCTGAGTAATTTGAAATAGTCTCAAAATAGGGAAAAATTGTATACCTATCTGGAATATTCATGTTTTTGGTTAGACCCGCCTTTATAGAACCATCCATTCTGCCTTGCTTATTTGGCATTGATGTAGTTTTAAAAATAAATTTGATGTTGACTCGTAAGTATTAAAATTTAATCTGCTTCCTTCCGGGGTCATAATTCTCTACTTTGTTGTCCTTGGTTACCTTGACAATCCCATTGCTGTCACAAGCACAGGGTTCCAACTGCAGGGGTGGGGTGAGCATCTGGGCCTGCTGACTCCCAGGGGCCCTGCCGTCCATGGGGCCAGACGCCTCCTAGCAGTGGCAGTGGGAACCAGGCCTACGTGCTTTTTGGCAAGAATGTGATTCTGAATGTTAGCCTTTTGTGGCTTGTTTGAAAAATAGCTCCTCCAAGTCCCCAGATAAACAGATTCCGGGTCTGTCCTCAGAAGGACATCACCTTCTTGCTCAGGCAATTCATTTTTTTGGAAGCAAGCCTTGATGGGTCAAACAGGGCCACCTTTTTATACTGTGTTCTGAAATTTGAATTTCAGAAAATTTTGAATCACTTAAGGAAGGAGCCATTTTCTCTTCATTTGTGAGCCTTCCTCCCTGTCCCCCACTGAATGCTGAATTCAGTTTCTTTCTTAGGGTCAGCAGTAGAAGCACTGATGCCACTCCTCGTGGCTTCCAGGTCATGCCATGCGCTCAGGGTCTCTTGAGTCATTCAGTGTGTTAGGCTGTGTGTGAGGTGGCCGGAATAGAACACCAGGAAGAATACCTTCTCTCTGAAGGAAGCTACAGTCCAGTGAGAGGAACAGAATCCTGTAAACGAATCAGTGCAATAAAATGTCATGAGGACCACGTCTGTAGGAATGGCCAAATTCCTTAGGATGTGCAAGGGCGCAAGTGGTCCCAGTGCCTGGGGCTGTGATGAGGGAGGGCCTTGTATGATGTTGTACCGTTGAGTCTTGAAGTCCAGGCAGTTACCTGTGAGTTACCAAATGCGAAGGCACTAAGCTGGTTCATCACGGTCTTCCATACCTGCCTCCCTGCCTTAGGTAAATATTGATCTACCACTGAGGTGACAGCCAACTAGGTCTCTGTGGTGGCATTTTCATAGTCATCTGATCTGCAGAGGGCTGCTCAGGCCAAGAATTTGGAGTGATCCTCAGTGCTTCGCGTGTACCCCACATTTCTA